AGTGGCACATGTAAATGTACCTTTTAAAAAAATAAAAATAAAAAGGTAAATGTCAGTGTTTTGAAAAAAGAAAAATAGCAGCTGTATGAACCAGTTTGCTGAAGCCTGAGCAAAAATATGTCAGATTAACTGACCCTTTAATATTAACACTACATTGTCAGAACTACATATTCTCTCTCTCGCCTCTAGTAACATCTGGTTTTGCAAGTAGTTTTGGTTATTTGCTCAAGTTCAGTGACGTCCAGCGCCTCCAAAATATAATACAACCTTTTTCACAGCAGTCGTGTGGACATTTCAAAGCAGGAAGAAGCACAGGTGTTTCAGGCGTACAATGATTATAACTATTAACTGAACCAGTAACACCTGTGCTTCTCCTGCTATGACATGTCAAACTGGCTGGTGTGATGTCTGATACACGTCTGTGTCTTCCTTTGAAAACTGTTCACAGCGAGAGTGGTGGATTATCCGCAGCGTTGGGGACACTGTCTTTTGAAAGAAATAATATTTCACAATAAAACACATGTAAAAACTGCTGACTGTGATATTACTTTCATTATGAATGAAAGTATGTTTTGGTTTTTATAGAATTACGCCTTCAGTTGGAGGCAGTGGGCTTGGGGCCACAGACGTGGGAGGGAAATTGGAAAGTAGTAAGAGACACTGTTGGCTAATATAAATGTTGAATATTGTCATCCCAGCCCCTTTGCCTTTATGTGAGCACCAAGAATCAATTTACATTCACCTCCATAGTATTGGAATCTAAGCAGAACATTGATATTGATCATCAGTATTAATCTGTCATGTGATCCTCATCGCACTAAAGGAGTTACAGTTGTTGAAAAAGTGTTGACATGTACTTTTTTTAGGTGCATCAACTTTCCTTCAACCTGCCGGTCTATGTCTATTTCAAGGAGCTTTAACTAACGAGCAACGGCATAGGTTTGCATATGGACATGTCGCTACTAATATTTTGGGAGGACAGAATTGCCCCTGCCAATAATATTATTTTTTTTATCATGCCTTTCTATACTATGACTTTTTATATCTTACTATATTATAATGTTTTTATGCCTTATTATATTATCTATCTCTTCGTTTTGGAGGGGTGGCGGGGTTGTTGCTACCAAACCTACGCCTTTGTTTACAAGGATATATATATATTATATATAATATATATATGAGAGAAGAAATGTGAATAGCACAACTACAGCAAGATTTTTACCAGTCACATAAAGAGTTGTAGCCCTTACCTACAATGCAACATGTCATGTCTCAGCATTGCATTCTGGTCTATGGAGGCAGCTGTCAGTGTGAAGCTGTTATCTCCGCTTCCGCTGTGATGGATTTCTCCTGGTATGATTGCTGAACGGCTGTGAAAATGGTGAGTCTAGAAAGAAGCCTCTCTCTTTGATTCGGAGAGCCTGACACTGAAACCTGACATTTACTGTTGATGTTTCATATAGTTAAAGATATTTCTGCTGTCAGGCTTCATTGTAGCTGCTCTGGAAATATCTTGACACAAGATCACAGTCTCCATGACTGGCCTGTTACCCAGAGGAATAAAATAAAAACATAGCAACACATGAAAACGGGACAAGAAATGTTAGCACCTGCTGCTTTGGGTCTTTTTTTTTTTACCTTTATGTTTCAGAATTTCATGTATAAAATATATTGAATGTATAGGTGTGAATAAATTTCAGTCCAGGCATTGAAGTACTGTATTCATGCACTTTGACTTTAAACACACAAGTTTTCTCAAGCAGCGGGGCTCCTCCAAAGCGGTTTGATGTGAACACTGGTTTGAAGGAGCCCCACTGCAGAAGTGACCCTTTATTACAGGTTAGATAAGGCATAAATGGCTGGTGTGCTTGCCGAGGGCCCGCAGATTGATTCACTCGGAGTCACCCCTGCACCCCACATTGAAACAAATTACCACTGAGCTGAATCTATTCGAGTGCTGAAATGCCACTGACATGAGGCGTCAGAAAAATATGTTAAACCAGAGAAGTTATTACCAAGGTGCACTACTGTTCCTCTGAGCATCAAATGTGCAATTAAATGGATCAGCTAAGGCAGATTACCAGCAGAGTATGAAATGGCAAAATGGCATGAATGCGTGCTCCCAAGTACTGTGTGTTTTCCCATGCACACATGCCAAACACAAAACAGCCTTTAACCTGAAAGTGCATGGGTCATAGTACCAGAAATGAATATGCCAATGGCTTTTTCAAGGACATGGGAGCTGTATCTGTGCACAGACCAAAGCCACAGATAGTTTTAATCCATGTCTTCTTCGTATGTACGTAAATATTCGAAAACAGGTCACAATTACACGGTTACATTATTTAAAAAAGGAAAAATAATTTTCCAGCTGGGAACTATAGTTGTTAGTAAACGTCACTCAAACAGCAGTAAATAATGTATTTATGCTGGTCTATTTTCAGCTGTGGATACTGAGTATTTCCCCAAAGCTACGGTTTATGCAGAACTGACTCAAAATTAACTTCAGTGCCCATTTTCATCATAATATACTGCGAGGATGCAGTTTTTAATAGTTTATATAAGACACACGAGGCTTTGGCTACAGAGTCAGTGCTTGTTATTAGGATCAATTCATTGTCTTTTCATAAGATTCATTGACCATGACAAAAATTCAGATTTAATCTTTTAAGAATGAGAGCATGTTTGGAATGACTGAGGACTAAGTGCAGCATCAACAAACGGGCTGCTACCCTGTGTCTTTTACTCTGCAATAAACTATTTGTTTTTTTGGTCTTACAGAAAAACAGCTGCTGTTTGTTTTGTTGCAAATAAAAATGAAATCAATTCCCATTTGAAACTTCAGGTGCCTGTTTGAGTAGCTTTGACTATATTTAATGTTTGCATGATTCTCCAAGGAGATACAAATCTATATTGTTGCTTTGCGACCTTCAGATCTTTGTGGAGGGTGTGTAAAGATTTGCCATGATCACGGGATACTGGTAGGAATACTTGTGGCTATTTCTTTTTATATTTCCATATTTATTATTGATTAAAAAGATAAGGTTAAAAGGCAGCAATTTAATACATCGCTGCACCATCCTGCACTGTATGGAGGAGGCTTACAGTAGCTGCTGACGGGAGCTACAGCGTTGAGGCCACTGCTCACAGAGCACAGACCACCCCCGGCACTTAGTCTCAAATGGATATAACTTGGCAGCACCTTGCAGGCTGTCTTGTATTTTCTGTATGAAAATGTGTTTACTTTGTGTAAAAAGCCTTTTGAATCCATTATGGGAATTTGTATTACATGTACTGCACAAAGAAAGAAGTATTGTCATAAACCTGAACATGAGCAAAGATTCAAATGAAAGAATGACAGAAAAATACCTCTCCTGGAGTCTTTCCTGTAATTACTGAAAACATTTAATTTAGTAAACTGCTCCCTTTTGAATTTGAGCCTTTACAAAGATTTAATATGTGAAGCTCTTTGTTATGCTCGTATTTTTCTATCATTTGTATTTCATAGTATGACATGAATCTCCGTAAGTTTTGAAATATACAGTTGTTAGAGAAGACACGTCTGGTTTTGCATGGGTTGAAGAAGCAGCTGATAACATTTTATATTGATCCAGATTTGTAATTTCTGACATTAAATAATAATGTATGTTTTTCATACTCAACCTTGAACATGAAAATCTTTCCCAGTTTATTATTCAAGCCTTTGCCATTGGCTATCAGATGTCAGCATCTGTCCCCTCTGTCCTATGGACCTACTTACTCTCTCCTAATGACCTGAGTGGCTAACCTGAGTTCAAAGAGTTTGAACTCCCCAAATAAAGAGAACTAAGAGCGTAAACACTCCCGACTTCAAATAAACACCTCCAAGTATGGATTTTGTGGCTGGGAGCTGCAGGATGAGTAGAGATGCACTACAGTAGGCTTTTATACCCATGTCTCTGCAGGATGTTTATGCTGCTGCTGCTGCTGCTGCTTCTGCAGAAACTGCCAGTGAATGTAATGGCAGGGCCTTCAGACCCACCACAGCAAGGGCTGAACAGCAGTGAATCATGGACTTCAAACACTGGTCGGACTCAAGCCAGGATCTGATCAGCCCTGGCAGAGACTCACGGATGGGCGAAGGTGTCAGATGTGAGCTACATACCGTACAGCTAAAATTCAGAGGAATAAAAATCTTACCTAATCAGCCTCCTCTTTTGTCAGTGAGTCTGTTTGTTGTTTAAAGATCCCATATTATATGAAGAGAGATGTCCATGTCTCTTTTGAGTATAGAGCAGGTCTAAGTTCTATATTAATACTGTGAAAGTATCAAAGCGCCTGGATTCAGAAACTGAGCCTTAAAACGAGCCGTCGGGACTTTTATAACTTTGTGATGTCACAACAAATCAGTCACCGCTCTCAGCCATGCCCCAAGCCCCGCCCACCTGGACCCACCATCCAACCTTGCAGGATTTGGTTTCTCGGAGTGTTTTACCTGAACTCTGATCTATTATTGATCTATTTTTATTGGATACCTCAGCCTGAGCCTCTCTTCTGATTGGCTCACCGATCTGTTGTTACTAGAGCTCCAGAGAGAAGCCTGAGAGAGGAGATGTAAAACTACATTGAGATGGATTTTGGTTCTTAAAACCACAAATATATTGTTACACTTCAAACAAAACACTGGAAAAGTGCAGAATAGGAGCCCTTTAAATATCTGTGAATGAGTGGAAGTTAAAACAAGATATAAATAAGGCTGAATTAAACAACCATTACCTTCATATAGTGTATAAATGAAACATGTTTGAGGTTTTTGTCCCACTTCTCTTGTGAGGCATTAAGTGCCCAATAAGCCAAACTCCGTCAAGGTCAGAGTGTTCGCTCATGAGGCTGCTGAGGCTGAATCCTACATATAGGACACATCACGCTGAAGCATTAAAAATGTTTAGTCTTCAACTCTAGTAAATGAAGAAAAATAATGACAAATCATTTGTGTATTGCATTTTCTTTAGTACTTTACATATAACGGGAAAATACAAGGGTTTGTTTTCAAGAGAATACAGGAAATTTAACAGTGCTCTATACATTAACATATTATAGTCAGTGTGGTGGTTACCTGGCACAGCCAACTGAGTTGTGCACATCGTGCACAGTTTTCCGTGGTGGGGAGGGGAACAGGAAAATACAATTCAAGATCTTCAATTATATGTTGTAAGAAGATTTAGTTTCTATTAGCAGCTTGAAGAAAATATAAAATGACCGTGCACCGCGCACCGTTACCAAAGCAGCGTTACAAAAAAGACAGAATTCACAGAGGAAGTAAGATGTAAAAAATGATCTAAAAATAAAATGTTTTTGAGATGTATCATGTCATGTGCAAGGTATTTTACATACTGTGTGAGTAAATTAGTGGGGGGGGGAAATCATTAAAAAAATCAGTGTGTGGAGCTGCTATTAGATACTTAATCTGTTATAATAACGTCACCAGATTGGGGCGACGACGTTAACACTAAACACAAAACAGCCAGCTTTAGTTAAAGAAATCCAACACTCATCCTGAGACACCATCGTTTTAAAGTTACAACTGAAACGCTTCCAGCTGGCTGCTGCTGTTCTCGATTTCATGGCAGATCATGTTGATGCTGTGGCTGAAGGACGGGCTTGGACTGTCAAAAAAACATCTCATCTCCTTCTCAGATGTTAACACAGATTGAACATTATTATACAGTAGAATCAGGTCATTATTCATTTCAACCACATGGAACATAGAGAGGGCATGCAGTAAACCAAATCCTTAAAGTCCCAATCCAGGATTTATCAGTATATCAAATGTGGGTCTATATACATGTAGAATATTGAAAGGTATGGTTTACTGATGGAAAATAATCTCATGGCAACTTTGGAGTAAGTGGGAAAAGTAAAGCCTGTTTTGCTCCAGTATTTACAACGTTGCTGTAAGGAAACCATTTCAATCTTCAGATCACATTTAACAGTTGTGTTTAGCCGTCAGTCGATGAAAACGCGTGTGTCTCTGTGTTTTCGTCCCGTCTGAAGCTGGTATTTGTATGACAGCGCTGCCACAAGGAGAACAATTCTGGATTGGGTCTTTAATAAGGCTGCAGGGGCTGAAAAGCAGGTAGGATGGCAACAAAATGTACATTTTGAAGTGAAACAGAGCTTGTGCTCATCATCACCACAGAGGGAGCAAGCAACATTAGTTTTTTCATAGGATCACCAAAAATCAGTCAGTCAGTTAACATAAAATAAAAATCCAAGCCCTTAGATGCAGTAGAGAATTAAAGGAAAGTGACACGGAAACTACTTTTTATCTCACAGTTGCTTCATTAGTCCTGAAAAAAAAAAAAAAAAAAAAAAAACTTGTTTTATGTGAGATCAGAGCTGGAACAACATCAACCTTCATCTCCAGTCATCCACTCTACTACTAAAAAGCAAACGCTACACTAACAGGGCAACTGCAATTAAAAATACTATTAACTCTGCTTTCATCATGCTCTCAGTTACTACGTGTCTGGCTGCCTCGCTATGTTTTGGTTGAAATCTCACTTGAGATATTTGATGCTCTTTCTAACCCCACCAGATCTCTCTCCTCTGCTTTAGTGTGGTGTAGTCAGTAAACCTTTAGAAGCTCAACGCAGCAATTAACACTTCTGCACATGGCAAACACTGGCTGTGTTGTTCGCAATCACTCTCAATTGCCAGTGAAGTCGATCAGCATCCTGAGATACGTTCACACGTTCTTTCAACCGCACGTCTGCGCCGCTCGTGCGCCTCTAGCAACACCGCTGTTTTCTTTAGCAGTAAGAGCTACCGGTCTCTGTCTGCGAAGTTCAGACAGAGCAAAGCTGTGACCCCCTCCCCTGGTGAGGGTTCACGAGAACAAAATAGGGACTACATACATTACACAGTGTGTTTGAAAAACAGCATGACATCATGGGATGACCTCGATTTAAATGATGAAGCAAAATCAATAATTTATTCAGTAATCTTTATGGGGAAATTACATTTCCTGCAGACTTTAGAGGATCTTGTCTCCAGTGAGAATATTTCCAACTAGTACGTTATAAGTTTGTTTTTTTTTTTTTTAGTTTTTTTAATTGTTTTTTTTAATTTTCCCGAAGGCTGGAGGCCAGAACTCAGAGGCGAAATAAATCATCAAAAGATGAGATCTGTTACAATTCTGATGCATAGCAAATCCTCATGTTCAACAATCAAACGTGATACCAGTTTGTTAAAAAGCTACGGTTCTGTCGAGACATTACTGAGGGGAACCTTCTACTCACCACGACACTATAAAATTTTCAAGACATCAACCGGCCCTCCGCTCCTCCTAGCTTGGATTAAGTAACGCGCTGAACGTTCGTGCCGGAGGTGACTCTGGCCCGGTACCATATATACATATACTAGAGAGGAATGTCTGCGTGTAGGCCTGACATGCGTGTAATGCATGATAACATATTTACTCCTGTAATGTGTATGAATGATTATATAATTACAATACAAACATTTACAAATTTGGAAAAAAAGTTGCTGATTGTGCCTCAAAGATCCCCTTCCATGCAAAGACTGTCAGAGATCCTCACAATACTCAAGCTCTTCTCTATTTATTACCCCATGCTCGAGATCAGTCGTAGCATTTTACGTAGTTGCTCTGTACTACGCTGCCTCTGGCCGTAGTGAGAAAACAGCGCGTCTGTTGACTGATATAAGAAGTGAACTGTGACCGTTTTGATAAGGCATTAGATTTGTTCAGGACCAGGAGGACTAGAAGTAGGGCACTGCTTTTGACTACCTATGAAATGTAGAAAAATGTAAGGAATGATAATGAGTACAAATCATGAGTGTGCTGCACCAAGAACGACAATGAAACAAGTTTTGCCATTAAAAGAATTCCTTTCCTACTTTGGCAAAAACAAAATGATTTTTTTTTTTTTTTTCTTTTTCAACATAACTTTCATGAGAGTCTTTGACAGTTTTTCTGTTCATCAAAGGCCTCTTAGTTTGGAGTAGGTACAGTACTGCAGAGTCCCACTGAGTCAGCAAAAACACAGCCAGTACCATAGCTCTTCCACTCTCCTGTCCATGTCAGGCTTTCTCTAGAATCAGATCCTGAAAAGAAGAAGAGAGCTGGGGCAGCGCTCACGTCTGGCCATGGCTCAGCTTCCCAGTGAAACATTTTTCCTACAGCCATCATTTTACAGATTTCTCTAGTGATTGAGATCCTCTGGTCAAGTCTTTGGCTTCCTGGCATTCTCTTCTGTGTGAGCGTGTATTAGATTACAGCACTGTGCAAACTAAATGGAACAAACCCTAACCAAAACAACAATTGGCCTTTTAGTCTGTGAAAGTTTATCTTTCACTCAGGTGAAAAAGAGAAAAATAGAAAGGAACGTTTCATTAGAAAGCTGAGAGCAGTGCTTCACACTGCACCTCTCATCTCAGGCTATTTCTTTTATTCTGCGCATGTAATCATGCAGTTCCTCTGGGTCTTGAAAGCCCATATCCTGGCAAACCCACTGAATGTCCTCTTCATCTGCGATGGGGATGGAGTTGTAGGGCAGCTCCTCTGTAGGAAGGGTGGTAAAGGTGGTAAACTTGACTCTCTTGCGCTTGGAGGTGGGTGAGCTGGCCTCCTCGCCGTTATCCTTCGTCGAGCCGCCAGAGCTGCCGTCACCCCGCCCGTGCACCTGGCTTTGAACGCTAGTCTGGGAACTGCCACTGCTGTGGTGGTCCCCGTGACAGCAAGTCTGTACGCCCTCCAAAGGGTTACTGGGACTTTCTACCTGCTGCGGTGACAGATCGCACTGGGCCCTCAGCGGCTGGCCGTTTCCCAGGAACACCCAGTGGTGGGAGTGGTCCATGTTGGCCTGACCCTCAGGCGGGATCCGTTTATGGCGGTATTTCAGCACAAAGACTATGCAGTTGATGAGAAAGACTAAGATGGCCAGGCAGAAGACTCCCAGTAAAGCGTACATGCCGATCTCGAGGTCGGTCATATTGCGAGGTGAATGTACAAAGTCGTCTTCCTCCTCTTCATCACTCTCGGTCGGCCGCTCCTGGTTGCTAATAGTGGGGAAATTAGTGTAATCAATGGGAACACTAGCAGGCTGCTCGTTAGACGTCTCATAAATTCTTCCATTGATGTTCGGATCAATGATTGGACGTCTGGTGACGGGCCCCAGCTCGATCTCGCCCTCTGTGGTTGCCTCTTCCTCGGAGTCTTCCTCTGGGCCGAAGCGGACCTTGACGTAAACTGCGGCAGATGCGATGACGCTTTTGCGTTTGGTCTTCTGGCAGGCCTCGCAGATAGTCATCTCTACACGCACCGTCTCACCGGACCCCTCCCCTTCTGCCACCACCACCGGCCAGCGCTGCTGAGGCTCCTGGGACACTGACACCACTTTGTCATCCAGTGTGGAGGCATTGAGGTTGTAGTCTTTGGGATCAAAGTAAGTCAGGGTGGCGGCTGTGTTGTCACTGAAGAGCATCCAGACGGACAAACTGGCCTCCTGTCGGACAACGAGAGAGAAATATTTTCTTTAACACCACAAAATAACTCAAACTGGTTTTCTGTTTTTAACATTTAATCACAAGGGGAGATAAATGTCTGTTCTGACTTGTAGTTCATGAGGAAAAAGCTTAACAAGATATTTAAAAAATCCAGAATTTCTGCAAAACTAGACAGCAAATGGTTCTGATCCGACAGGAACCTACGCACCATGTTGACGCACCTGAATACAGAAAAAAACCCCACCAATTTGCATCTGACTATTAGGCTGAAGACAGAATTGAAAGGGATGAAGGGCAGGAGATTCGTTGTTAGTGTCACAACAGAAAGTCTCGTCATACTGAAAAGCAGCTGAAAAAGAATCAGACTCTGAAAAACTTTATTTTCCATCACAAAGTAATTAAAATTTGCCTTTGACGTTTCTGACCAACTTTTGCAATTATACTAGATTGATTACTTTACTCTTACTTTCATGGACAATTTGTGCTAAGTGATTGAAAACCGGTGGTTGATGGTGGTTAATGATTCTGCCCAGGCTGAATTGCTCTCTTAGCTTTACAAGAAGCGGAAAATCCAGGCACAAGCAGGTTTAACATGTCATCAAATACACTGTAGGCATGTGCTGCACAGTTTGACTCTCAGACTTTAAGTCCATGTAAAATCGTTTGACAAATGCTTGGTTTGAAAATGACCTATAAAGGGGGGGACAGGTAAGAGGAAAGTTGTATGTACTGCAGCAGCTTTAAAACTTTCACACATGTATGTTTCTTAATCTCTGCAAGTTCCATTAAAAATCAAAGTAAGAAATATAAAACCAGTCAGGAAACTCTGGCTCTGCCTTGTGTTTATATCTCTCCAAAGAGTATTTCAATGGTTCAGATGCCATTCTTTCATGGTATTGACCGTGATTTGAATATCTGTTCCCAACTGAGCCTTTGAAGTTCTGGACTTGCGCCAATCCCTAAATCTCCAGAGCGTTTGTGAACATCCGCGGTACCGTGTGCTCAGTACAAGCCTTGACACGCACACAGACGGCCTGCCTCTGATGTGCACACCAGCGAGCCACTTTCAAGCACAGAGGAGGAAGGGGTGGAAGGAACGACGGCGTTGTCCTGAAGGCTACAACACAGCTCCGCTCTGCAGCACAGACAGATAAACAAAATGATGCAGCAGCAGCAGCAGCAGCAGCAGCAGCAGCAGCGGCGTGTGCTTCGAATGATGAGCTCTGGTCCACCTCTTCCTGCTTGCTGTGTGTGATCTTCTCATTTCGTATTTTGTATCACTCTTCAGTGTCTAAACTCCCTTGTAGAGAAACCGGATAAAATGCCTCAATTTCTGCGCGGCGGTTATCAGACAACATTCATCAGCCGCAGAGGAAACCGCAACACTGGCGTCCGTGCAATCAAGGCAGCATTTGACAGCCGCCTTTGTTCACAGCTTGCTTGAACAACAGTAACCCACCATTAGCAGAGCTGACAAATAAAGAAGGACAATTTTTATTTCTGAAACAAAGTCTGGCAGGTCTTGACTTCTTCTTCCCTTTTCTTTATTTTGCAAAGGACAGTTGCACATCCAGTATTTTCAGGGCAAAAAATCGCTTTGGTCTAGTTTGGGAGAAGACTACTTTGTTGCAGTGGTACTCCACCAGGAGCCAAACCCCTATCATCTCAGCATGACAGAATGAAGACAGCCTTTGATATGGATGATTTGAATAATACATTGAATACGGCTTATCTGTTTTTACGAGCTGACTCTGCCGCGAAAAGGCTGATGTAGGGAAAAATGTGTGGGTGTTTCCACACTGACAAAACAATTGGCACCTGCTTTTCTATGCTGATCCAGTGCAGGAGGGCTCTGCATGCAGTGGAGGTGATTTTGTTTAGTCTCAGAAAAAAGATTGCTAAAAAGAGTAGCTATTTATTTTTTATTTTTTTGAAAAAGGCAAGAGGGCCATGAAAGATCTGAAGAGACCCTAAGGGATTTCTGCACCGTGTTGATATTATTTTATGCATCTAACCTACTGTACCTTTGGCACACAATTTCTCCAATTAATTTTATCTGTGTACTTCCATAAACTAATGTGTATTCGGAAGTTTCCTATCTTTGATTTCCCCACTTTCTCCGATTTGTGCGTTATGGCAACAAGGGATTACACTGTATGTGGATGTAAATTGAACATAAACAGCTTGGATTATAAAATATGCATATGCGGAAAAACACTCCCTGGAAATGTTGTTCTGAGACATCTGCATCGACATGAAAAGCAATAGTGCTATTCAGTCTCATAAATACCTTATTAAGTTGCTAATTTAAGCAGTAACAGTGAGTAAGACGTAGCAAGAGAAATGGTTTATGATGAGCCTTCAAATAGTGAAGCTCTTATTTCTGAAAGGCTTGAACTTTGTCAAGTTGAAAAGAGAATAATGCAAAGAGACCTTGATTTTTCCAACTCTCCCCATCCATAGTTTATGTGTTTCATTCATTTCTAGAGTAATAGAGGACATTTAGAAAGTTTTCCAGTGAAACAGAATCAAATGGCTTGAAATAGCTCCAGTACTCCTCTGAGAGCTTTGCCGGCAGAGGAATTGGCTGCCTTTTATGGCCCGGCCTTGGAGAGCACTTAGGACAATACATTACAATAATTAAATTTCAAGGTGGCCAAGAAGCGGAAAGCAAGAAAAATTGGAATTTAATGCTCGCTTCTCTCTCACTGATGCTTGATGTGGTTGTCGTTGCATTTTTAGCAACTTGCAGGCCAATGAAAGGGCAAAGCAGAAGAAGAACTCAGACACACACAAATACACACACACACACACACACACACACACACACTTCTCTTTAGGTTGAAGCAGAGATGCCAATTAATTCCTTACAGAGAAATGCAGAGATTCTTACTTCTGTGTGAAGAGACAGCGGCAAAGAAAAAAACAAAAACAAAACAGCTTTCTGATTTTCTGTTTTTCACCCAGACGTATTTTCTCTTCTCACTCGAACAACAAAATCCATTTTGAGGAACGTATTTGGACGTATCAGAAATGTTCTGGCAGAGTTGGCTAATATGGAGGTTGTTATAAAACGGCACCAATAATACACATTAGTTCACCGCAGCTGCGTTTATTTTGTGTCCTTGCCAACAGTATTGGCTTGAAGCTTGAAAGATTTAGCACAGAAATAATTTTATTACTGAGAAGTGAAAGTAGTTCCTACTTGTTGATTGAGCCACTGAGGGGATTTGCAAATAAACTTTTGTTTTACCACTCTGGAGAGAGAAATCAGGAAACACACTGCTAAGTGTTAATACGGCATACAGAGGTGCTTAGCCGTGGATTTACAGAACTGCTGTTTATGCTGTAGTAACCGTTCCATCACTTCCATCCCGCCATAATGATTCAATACGTATCTGAACACTTTGTGATCCGATATAAAAATTATACAGACGTATTTGTAATGTAAAAGTTTGGTTCAGTTGCAATTTAATATTGATCCAAGATTCAAAAAAGATCTGATATATTCACTTCATGAATAAAAGTGCGTTGGTTTTGACTAAATAATCAGAAAATGTACATTTTTATTTGCGCAAAATTTATTTCTGGAGTCAGAATGTGTGCTGCCAAAACAACAACAGTAAACATGAGCAGTGACACACTGGGTAGCTTTATAGCTAGTCCTCATTTAGGATGAATTTTTAGGTGAAATGAGGTGAACTGGATATTTTTACTTTGCTATCTAAATTAGATATTTTCAACAATATGTTGATGGGGCAGTATCAGCTAACGCTTGTTATTTACGTCAGCTAGACTGCTGGTAACTTTTAACGCACATGCAGCCTTCATAAATATGCAGCGAGGTGTGTGGTACCACCTGCATATTTTCATCACACTGTTGCTAGTTTTGCAGACTACAACATTGTAATATTTCTGGCAGCTTTGGAAAGGTAGAGTCTGACTTTTTTCTTGGGAAATTTTTTCAGCAAGCAAATGCCTCAAAGTCAGTGTGTGACTGGGCAACAAAGCTAGCTAGTTACCAGTACACACAAACACACACTTTGATTGGGATTTCTAGGAGGCAGGGTTGTGTGGGGTACAAGCATTTTGTAATATAGTTATATCTATGATATCAATTATAATATAATATAATATAATATAATTTAATAACATTGACTGCATTACTTGTTGGTCATTTCTTGTTGCTGTACCTGTTTGGGAGCAGTGAGTGTCTGGAGGCCGGTTGCCTTGGCCACCATGGTGTGGCTGTTGCCGGGGCTGGGCTGCAGTGACAGGGTCAGGCCTGAAATGGCGTGAACCCGCAGCTCTGTGATGGAAACCTTGTCGTCTGTGACCGAGAATGCAGACTCTCCCAGCACTGCATCCACTGCCAGCGGAGACTCCACCTGCAGAGAAAAAAACACACGCTCTTTTATTGTTTTCTCCACATGACGGAGGGACATCGTTTAAGTCCAGAAAAGACAACAGCTTTATTGTCTCTCTGAAGCTCATAAAGCCCATGACAAGCCAATTTTGGATTAAAGTGCTTTGTGCTGTTGTTTGCTCCAGTGTGTCTTGAATCCATGTGTCAATGCCTCTCTGTCTACCATCGTGAAAAACAAACAAACAAAGACGCCGTGCTCAAGATGGAATCCATCAGCAACCAGACAAGGTAGAATCCAAAGCAGCCACCACACGCTTTCTAACTGACAGTTAGCAAAAACACTTGTGCCCATCTGAGTGTCACTGCATTGAGCACCAAAACCGTTTAGAGCTGGTGTCGCCTCCTCGAGTAATCCCAGGCTTTTTTTTTTTTTTTTTTTTTTTTTTTTGATGGGCCTCTGCACCCAGTACTTAGAGCACTTTTAAAAGATCATCATTTCGCTTTGCAATTGCAACCAGAGGTCATGAGGGACTTGAACGAAGTAAAGAGCCATCCAGCACAAGCCGTGGCCTTGTCCTTAGAGTCAGTCCGGGAAATTGTTTCCACCTTCATCTAGAGCATTTTTTTTTTTAACTGTAGCTGGCATCATAAAGTGTGTAATGCTTAGAACAATGAAGGGTCTGATGCTCTGACACGCTTTCCCAATAACCATCCGAAACCTTGAAACGGCGAGCCGACTGCATCTTGTATACTCAAGTTGTGCTTCCAGACAAAATTGTCTAGACGCCTTAAATTTGCCTGATTTGTAATTTGATGTAACCTGATGTTTGGGCTCAGATCTACGTGCCATGTAATTTGGTGCGGTGTAATTTGTCATGCTTGAGCCAAATCATCTGCAGAAACAGATGGATCTGCAGATGCCTGGTTTTATCAATTTAGTCTCAATACATTATGATTTCTATTGTGTCCAAAATGATGACTAGAGCATTCTAAACACACACACACACACACACACACACACATACACAACCTACAGTCACTCAGGGTGCAGAGATCTCTTTTTCTCACAGCCCTGACCTTAACTTTACCCTTTTGCTGTGTTTGCCAATTTTTTTTTCTTTAATGCATAATCTTTCAGTGCGTACGACTCCCTGGCCTCGTTATCATCTCAGTAAGGTGCATTATTATTTCATAGAAAACTCTACGAATGAATGAATGAACTCCAAACAAAACACATAAAGACTTAAACAACAGAAAAAGCATGTATGTACTGTGAGGTGTTTTTAAAGGGTTTTTAAGCCCTGAACCATTACGTATTTACTTATGTTCAACAGTGTGGTCTCGGCAGGTGAGGGGCTCGTCCAAATCATCTACCTGGAATTCGTGAATCGTATCTGTGATGGAATATTCTAAAGTCAAGGTTCACTTTGAGCTTTTTTTCCAGAGCTTTTGACCGAATCTCACAGTGTCCGGGAAACATTTCTACATTTTTTCTACATAGCCACAGAAATAGCTTCTGTCTGGTGGAGCTCTTGGACGTGATGGTAAAACTCTTATCTTTATTTTCCACTTCAGAATTAGATCCTCACCTTCATTTACACCTTCATTTTTTATTTTCACTGTCACGGCATCTGTTACAACATTATACTAATTAGTCGGCTTGATGATTGTTTCATGATGCACAAACACAGACAGTTGCACAGCTACTAGAATGGTATAACGCTCCTATATAATGTCCTCTTATCCTAGAGAGGTTAATGGGTGGCAATTCAGTGCTGCCATCAGTTGTGAGACGGCCTTCCTGTAGCTGTGTGTGGATGTGTCTTGCTCGCAGCTCCTCGACTCCTCTGCCCTTGATATTTATCTTTCAGTACAACTCTGCACAGCACACTGTATGCATTGTATATCTGTCCGTATACTGTATTCATCAGAGTAAAATGTTAGAGAATATAAACACGTCCTCTATACTAGTAAATGCTTCGGGGTTAAAAATAGGAGAAAAAAAACGCAGCTTCAATATTCTGCAGTCAGGTTCCACTTCAATATGCATTGTTTGAATTAATTTGCCAGAAAGGAGAGTTATGGTTCACTGTGCAACACAGAGACATGTGCACATGCAACCACAAACAAACACATACACAAACATGTTGGTTTTTCTGCTGTTGAGAGGACACTCACTGACGTCATTCCCCTGACCCGTTACCCTCACCTACACCACCACGACCAAATGCCTTTCCCCAGTCCTTACGTAAACCCCAACCTAAACCTAATTCCATAACCCAACAACCAAGTCTTCATCAGCCCTTTAAAATGTCCTCACAACGATGGCTTCAAACTACAATTTGTCCACACAACCATAGAAAGACATGTACACACACAGTGTGCAAGCAAAGCCCTAAGGCATGATAGTAAATGAATGCACAAATAAACTCTAAAAGTTTTCATGAGGACAAAGTTGCATTTTAAATCCCTCTCACTACAGAAGCTTTTTCTGCTACGACTAAAAATCTCTGCATTAAGCTTGACGGTGGAACATTTTTATTTCAAGACTAGTATAACAGGGGACTTAATCAAGGTGACAATCACAAGTCATTTTATGGATAGTGATGGGGTGGCGTGGGTGGTGGGGTGGGGGGTGTAAAGGATGTGTCCTGAGCAAAGTTGGTTTCTGTGCAAAAACATGTGGACACATAAATCCTAGTGAGGTCAGACCGGGTACACCTCCACCAGTGAAAACTGTTTGCTTACAATTGATTTTCTGCTATTTCACGTTCATTCAGCTGTGGCTGATATTTTCACAGGCCAATTAAAGTGACTAAAAAGAAATTCTAATACAATTGAAATCAATATTGGCGATTACGTACAAATGTCAGAACACGATTCACCACATTGTGCACTGATTGTATAAACTAAAAATGTAATCACAGAAACTAATCTTGTTTGGGGTTATGATCCATGCTGGAAACATATATTGTGTAGGCATTTCTTCCTCAGCTGTCATGTATCCAATTTCAGGGATATTTAAGAAAAATCACTTTGTCACTACAAATCAGGTGCTGCGGTGCAAGTTTGGTATCAATGCCTGAGCCTCCCCCAGCCTCTGCTATTTTTATTGCTTGAGTTGGC